AAAAAACTCTAGAGAAATATCATATACTCTTAAAAGAAATAATTTATGTTGAACAAAAACAGAAGTTGCTGGGAAAGCTCAGAAGGTCTGGCAGCATCTGTGAGGTAAAAACAGAGTTTTGGGACTGGTGACCCTGCCTCAGAAAAGTTCTGAGGAAGGGTCATCGGACTCGAAACGTTAACTGTTTTTTCCTTGACAGATGCTGCCAGACCTGCTGAGCTTTTCCAGCAACTCCTGTTTTTGTTCCTGAGTTACAGCATCCACAGTTCTTTCGGTTTTTAATTTATGTTGAATACTTTGCTAAAAGTGAGAGATAAGAAAATGTTGCTTGACTTTAGGATCAATTGGCATGACCAATAGAGGAAGGTGGAGAGAGGGGGGTGCAGAATCATTGGAGGTTCATGTGATGAACCACCCAGGAATCCATCCAATAAGAATAGCTGACATTTGTCAGGATCCAGGTGGACAGATGCAGTTTTATCTCAAGGTTCATTTATTTGGTTCCATCTTGGCTTTTGAGTTGGTGACTTCAGCAAGAATGCCAACATCCCGGGAAGAAGATTGTCACTTCCCTGGTGACTGTCTTCAGCTATCGAAGGGGTTTACACGGTGGATGTGAGGATACAGCACAGCTCACTCCTTCATTAAGGACAATATCCAACATCACAAACACATGAGCTCCCAGGTTCAGGAACGTCACAATTGCTGGGGAAGACCAAGGAACATTAAATTCATCTTCTCTCCATCTGGTGTGGGATTATTGGGATCAGACTCCAACAATGAATCCATAATCAAGCCAGGTGTGAGGAGGGGTAAAGCCCCAGTGGGGGCGGGGCAGAGATTTGGAAACAAATGGTCTCTCCTGAGCATGTTCCGCTCACCGCGTCACATCTCACATAATACTCTATCCAGAATCGTAATTCTATGGGAGCAATCTGTCAACTTACACATGGATGTATCAATATGATGAGACCATAAGAAACAGCAACAGGAATAGGCCATTCAGCCCCTCAGGCCTGCTGCACCATTCAATAAGATCATGGCTTATCCAACATTCCTCACATCCAATTCCCTGCATTTTCCCTGGAATTCATGATTCCCCAACTGATTATCCTCTCCACCACCTCCCAAGGGAACTTGTTCCATAGATTGCGATGTCATTTGCCCACATCAGTTTAGAATGTCGCATCTTCAAATCCAGGCTACATACTCTGCACAAGGCAGGGCAACTTATGACAGTCAACATTACCTCTGGTACATTTTGTGGTCACCAATCACAGGATGGAAAGTGGAAGTGTTTGATCATTGCAAACCATTTATTCCTACAGAATAATTTGAAAAATATTGGCAAACTGAATAATGTGACAAATGGACAAAGTGTGGAGATAGTAAGAACTGCCGATCCTGGAGTCAGAGACAACTCAGTGTGGAGCTGGAGGAACACAGCAGGCCAGGCAGCATCAGAGGAGCAGGAAAGCTGACATTTTGGGTTGGGACTCTTCTTCAGAAAATCAAAGTGTGGGGATACTTTTCTCAAAATGCTGGAAGAAAAGAGCTAGAAAGTCACTGGTGAACCTAAAGATCTTGGGAATGATTTGAAGAGCTGGGAGTTGTCCCTGATGCCCTGGTCCACCATTCTACCCTCTGTGGGAAGCACAACAGCATTGTGGGTGGCATGGTGGTTCGGTGGCTCAGTGGTTAGCACTGCTGCCTCACAGCGCCAGGGACCCATATTCGATTCCATCTTCAGGCTGTCTGTGTGGAGTTTGCACATTTTCCCCATTTTTCCATGGGTTTGCTCTGGTTTCCTCCCACAGTCCAAACATGTGCAGATTAGGGTGGATTGGCCATGCTAAATTACCCACAGTGTCCAGAGATTTGCAGGCTAGGTGGGTTAGCTATGGGTGATGCAGGGTTACAGAGACAGGATAGTGGGTGTGTCTGGGTGGGACACTGTCTGGAGAGTTGGTGTGGACTCAATAGGCCGAATGGCCTGCTTCTACACTGTAGGGATTCTACGAGCCAAATCCACCAGGTTCTGGTCATTTTGTTTTTGTTATGTTTGGGGTCCTTCTGTGCACACAATGGTGGCCACAACGACCAAAATGATGAGTCTGTAGGCTTCAGAGTCACTTATTGTTGAGGAGACACTTTGAGATGTTTGTGAAACCTGATACATTTCAATATAAATACAAGTCACACCATCTCTGATTCAGTGAGTAGCTTTTTTCCATCTGGGATCCTATTCAGAGGCTGTGGAAGGTCAATTTACAGATTAATAATTAAACTTTCCACAAATCTTCACCACACTGTATGCTTTTCCTTTTGCTTTTATGCTGTGTTGACTTTCTTTGTCAGCCGTGGCTACCTCATCCTTCCCTCAGTACATTTCTTCTTCCTTGGGATCAATTTCTGCTGTGCCCCCGAATCACTCGCAGAAATTCTGGGTCTATATTCAATGGAGTTTAGAAGGATGCTTGGGAGAGAAATCCCAGCGAAAATTATACGATACTGAGAGGCCAGGATTCAGTGGCTGTGGAGATGTGGGGTGGCACAGTGGCTCAGTGGTTAGCACTGCTGCCCCACAGCACCAGGGTTCGATTCCAGCCTCGGACGACTGTCTGTGTGGAGTTCGCATATTCTCCCCGTGTCTGCGCGGGTTTCCTCCGGGTGTTCCGGTTCCCTCCCACAGTCCAAAGATGTGCTGGTTAGGTGGATTGGCCATGCTAATTTGCCCCATAGTGTCTAGGGTGGGGAATGCAGGGAAACGGTAGGGGATGGGTCTGGGTTGGATGCTCTTCGGAAGGGCGGTATAGACTCGACTGGCCGGATGGCCTGCTTCTACACTGTAGGGATCCCATGATGTTTCCACCAATAGGAGAGACTAGGACCTAAAGGCACAGCCTCAGAGAGAAGGACTGACTCTACAGAAATGAGGTGGGAAGGAATTTCTTCAACAAAAGGGTGGTGAATCTGTGGGACACAGAAGGCTATGGAGGCCAAGTCATGGAGTCTTTAAGGCAGGGGTAGATAGGCTCTTGATTAGTAACGGGGTCAAGGGTTACTGGGAAAAGGCAGGAGAATGGGGTTGAGAAACATGTCAGCCATGATCAAATGGCAGAGCAGACTTGAGGAGGGCCAAATCAATTAATTCTGCTCCTATATATTATGGTCTTATGATTGGTTGGCCAGAATTGTGTAACATTCCTGAGTGAGAGTGAACAAGGTCACAGCAACAGGAAGCAGAGCTTTCACTCTGCCAGAGCCCCGTCACAGGGCGCTAATGGGAGACCAGCAGGACCAATGCTGTCTCCATGGCCACACAGTGGCAATATAATTTGAGGGTTTCCAAATTCCAGGCAGGATTTATAACAACCAAACTCTGTCAAATGTTGAAAGGTTTCGGGAATAGCACAATAGTCCCAACAGGATTGGGTTTGCTGCAGGTTACTCACCATCAACCCTCAGACAGCACCTTCCAAACCCACGACCACTTCCATCTGGAAGGACAAGGGCAGCAGATACATGGGAACACCAACCCTGCAAGTTCCCCTCCAAGACACTCACTGTCCTGACTTGGAAATATATTACCGTTCCTTCAGTGTCGCTGGATCAGAATCCTGGAATTCCCTCCCTAAGGACATTGTGGGTCTACTTACAGCACATGGGCTGCAGCAGTTCAAGAAGGCAGCTCACCACCACGTTCTCAAGGGGCAACTAGGGATGGGCAATAAATGCTGGCCCAGCCCAATATGCCCACATCCCATAACTCAATAAACAATAATTCCAATAAAATTAGCTTTACGTTTAGGAAGGTAGTCAAAGCCAGTCTTTCGACCATCCTGAGTGACCCTGAAAAGATTTCACTTCCCACTCCCCTCAGCAATTATTCATTCTAATTCAATTCAATTAAGTCATTCTAATTCCGCACTGAGTCCCAGCTATCACAGACCATGTCACACACAAGAGGCACAGAGCTATGGATTCAAGTCTCACTCCAGAAACACAAGCCTGACTGTTTCAATACTGAGGGAGTGTCGCACTATCAGAGGGTCAGTGCTGAGGGAGTGCCGCACTGTCGGAGGGTCACTGCTGAGGCAGCGTCGCACTGTCGGAGGGTCACTGCTGAGGGAGCGGGAACTGTCAGAGGGTCAGTGCTGAGGGAGTGCCGCACTGTTAGAGATGCCACCTTTCAGACTAAAGTTTAAAACAAGGGTCCCATCCCTCCTCTCTGTATAGGGCTAGGTGTATCTTTGACACACTTTAAAATTGAGCAGGGGAGGTATTTTCAGTTCCCTGTTTATTCCCAGCCAATTCCACTGAAACAGATGATCCAGTCATTATCACCTTGCTGTAGGTGGGATCTTGCTGTGTGTAAACTGGCTACTATGTTTCTTATCTTACAAATGTGACTACATTTTAAAAAGCAGTTCATTTGGGCTGTGACACAAATTGGGACGTTGCTGGTTTGTTTCAGGTGCTTTAGAAATGCAGCTCTTCATGGAGCTAAAACAAGTCAGTTTGGCTAAAACTGATTGCTTCCCTAAATTTTATTCGTGACCAGCTGTTTTGTTTTGAACAGCATCTGGCAACATCTCAGCTTGTTTTATTATGATTCCAGCCACAAATCATGAAATTTATTGAATTCAATTTCACAACTTGACAGAGTGGGATTTGAAGTCACAACCTCAAAGAATGACAACAAGATCTGGAGGCCATTCACTACAGTGTTTCTGTGCTGGATTCCATTTAAAATTAGTTCATTCATGTGATTTTGGCATCGCTGGCTGGGCTCAGCATTTACTGCCCATCCCTAGTTGCCCCTTGAGAAGGTGGGGGTGAGCTGCCTTCTTGAACCGCTGCAGTCCATGTGCTGTAGGTAGACCCACAATGCCCTTAGGGAGGGAATTCCAGGATACTGATCCAGCGACAGTGAAGGAACGGCAATATATTTCCAAGTCAGGATGGGGAGTGTCTTGGAGGGGAACTTTCAAGGGGTGGAGTTCCCATGTATCTGCTGCCCTTGTCCTTCTAGATGGAAGTGGTCATGGGTTTGGAAGGTGCTGTCTGAGGATCTTTGGTGATTGAGCTCTCTGTTCAGTCTCTCCCCTATTCAGCCTTACTTTTTCATGTAGTCTTATAAATTTGAGATATGCTTGCTTTCCTATAAAGGACAATAAGCCACACATTTAAAATAATGTGAAAGGATGAACTTTTGCTGGCTTATTTACACATTTCATAGACAACATGTTGCAAACAGTATCCAGTAAATAACCTTCAGTCTACATTGAGAAGTGCCACTTGCACAAACCACAGCTCAGGCAGTGAAATGGAGTCTTGCCTGTGTTTCAGAAGGAACAAAAGGGCTTTAAATGGCCATACGCTTCCATGCAGATTAACAGGAAAAGTGACGGTGAGGAACACAGCAGCTGGACACCCTTCGATGTAAGATTTGCACGGTGTGACCAGGCCAGTGGCTTGAGGTTAAAGTTTGGTAACTGGCGCTGGGCATCATAAATCCATCACCTCTCCGCAGCTATGACACCAAAGGGTTAATTACCAGCCAATCCTAACTTGGAAAAGGTCAAGGTGCAGACACCTTGCAATGGGCTTGAGTAAAACAGTGCATCTCTATCCTGGTTCCGAGCCCACTCCCTGTTCCTTGTTCACCTTCAGTTTTCACAGGAGCCCTTAGGGCTGGGTCAGCATTCCGGGCTGGGTCAGCATTCCGGGCTGGGTCAGCATTCCAGACAGTCAGTTTGCAGGCCGAGCTGTCCGACCAGTTCTGGGAAAGCGATGGACCTTGACATGTTTGGAAAGGTGGTCACTGCGAGCAAACCTCTTCTCACAGATGGCACACTGGTACGGCTTGACTCCAGAGTGAGATCGTCGGTGTCTGGATAGTTCATCGGACCTTGAGAACCTGAAGTAAAGTACCAAGAGGTTAGATAGTCATTCACCGCTATTGTCTCAACAATGGCCAACCATCTCTTCTTGCAATGCCATGTTTCACTTGCAGCTGCTGGGCTCAGTCCTTAAGGACACTGATTCTTAAAGGCTCCAATAATGAGGGCAAATTGCAAAGATTAGGTTTGTAATCCCTTAGCCAAAGAACATAGAACATAGAACAGTACAGCTCAGTACAGGCCCTTCGGCCCACAATGTTGTGCCAAACTTTTACCCTAAACCTAAGGTCTATCTAACTTCCACCCCTACCTTATACTATCATCCATATGCCTATCTAATAGCCGCTTAAATGCCCCTAATGAGGCCGACTCCACTACCCTCTCCAGCAAGGCATTCCACACCCTACCACTCTCTGAGTAAAGAACCTACCTCTGACATCTCCCCTGTATCTACCTCCACTCACTTTAAAACTATGTCCCCTCGTAATAGCTACCTCCACCCATGAATGAGTGACCTGTCTGAGCTGTTTCAGATGATCAAAGGGGTCTAGAGGGTGGATGGAGGTAAATGAATTCCTCAAGTTGGTTTAGGCGGTCGACACAAGCTGGGGAAGGGGATTGCTATAAAATTCAAGCCAGGCTATTCAACTGTGATATCAGGAAGCACGTCTTCATTCAAAGTAAACAACAAAATTAAAAATGACAATGCTTTTTTGCTGGGCCAAGGGATTAAGGAACCTGTGCAGATTAATGGAATAAAGAAGCAGAGCCGGGAACTGTTCAGAACGAAGATCGAAAGGCTTCACTCACTGTCCTTACTGTCTGAAATCAGGATGGGGGTTAGAGGATGGGGGAACGGAGGATGGGGAGGTCACAGAAACTGACAGGGGCAGTGAGAAATTCAAGAACTGCTAATTGCTTCATCTACAGCACTACAAACAGAGGGGCTGAATGGCCTGCTGTTACATCCTCATTGCAATGGGTTTTAATTTCAACACTGTGAAGACTGAGGGAATACACAGGTTGGAAAAGTGAAACCAACAGAAAGGACAGCACCGACTGTGGGGGCATTGACAATAAACACGAAAAATTTATGATAAAGTTGAATTAAAGTGTGTTTTCATGAATCATAAATGTAATGATTTGCTCACAAACTTACAGTTGCTATGTACACCTCCTCCAGATGTGATTCCTGTTTCTGTACTATCCCCGTTTTGCTTTTAACCATCTTGACTTTTGTCATTTCATCTCTCCTGCTTCCCAGCCAATCACTGAGCTTCCCATTTGTTCTGACCAACTCTCTTGATCTAAACCCTGGACTTGCATCAGACCTTCCTCAACCTTCAATCTGCCCCCAAAATATGAACACACAAGTTAGGTGTTAAATTCTTCCTTGAATAAAGTGATCAATACTGTACTTAGTCCTCCAGATGTGATCTGCCCAGTGCCCTGTATAACTGAAATGTAACATCCTTATTTTCATATTCAGTTTGCCTTGCGATAAATGATAACATTCTGTTAGCTTTCCTGATCACTTGCTGCACCTGCACACTAAGTTTGTGATACATGGAACAGATCACCCAGATCTCTCTGCAACCTCTCACAATTTCAATAATACGCTTCTGTTTGAATTCTTCCAGCTAAAATAGATGATTTCATATTTTTCCACAATATACTCCAATAGAAAATGTGAAACATACTGAAGATATTATGGAGTATCTGGACAGAGAGAGCAATCTCTGACTTTTCTGGTTCCAATTAATTGATGTGAAACATTAACTTGTATTCCCTCCCCACAGAAGCAGCCACTCCTGCAGAGCAGTTCCAGTATTTTCTGTTTTTGGCCCCAGGGTCTCCTGTAGGATCTTCCCTCCTTCAGTTTCGATTCACTATAAATTTCAGCTCATCTGAAACACTGCAGCACCACACCGCAACTCTAACCCTGCTCACTGATTTACACTGGATTCTGGTCTGTCATAACTTCACATTATCATCCTTGTTTTCAAAGCCATTTCAAATTACTGAGGGAGTGCCGCACTGTCAGAGGGTCAGTTCTGAGGGAGTGCTGCACTGTCGGAGGGTCAGTACTGAGGGAGTGCCGCACTGTCGGAGGGTCAGTACTGAGGGAGTGCCGCACTGTCGGAGGGTCAGTGCTGAGGGAGTGCCGCACTGTCAGAGGGTCAGTGCTGAGGGAGTGCTGCACTGTCGGAGGGTCAGTGCTGAGGGAGTATCGCACTGTCGGAGGGTCAGTGCTGAGGGAGTATCGCACTGTCGGAGGGTCAGTGGTGAGGGAGTGCCGCACTGTCGGAGGGTCAGTGCTGAGAGAGTATCGCACTGTCAGAGGGTCAGTGGTGAGGGAGTGCCGCACTGTCGGAGGGCCAGTGCTGAGGGAGTGCCGCACTGTCGGAGGGTCAGTGCTGAGGGAGTATCGCACTGTCAGAGGGTCAGTGCTGAGGGAGTATCGCACTGTCGGAGGGTTAGTGGTGAGCGAGTGCCGCACTGTCGGAGGGTCAGTGCTGAGGGAGCGCCGCACTGTCGGAGGGTCAGTGCTGAGGGAGTGCCGCACTGTCAGAGGGTCAGTGCTGAGGGAGTACTGTACTATCGAGGGTCAGTGCTGAGGGAGTGCCGCACTGTCGGAGGGTCAGTGCTGAGGGAGCGCCACACTGTCAGAGGGTCAGTGCTGAGGGAGTGCTGCACTGTCGGAGGGTCAGTACTGAGGGAGTGACAGAAGTCCACATGCTTTGTTATAACATTCTCCTCAACAGAAGTTTTTTTTTAAAATTCATTCACGGGATGAGGGTGTCGCTGACTAGGCAGCATTTATTGCCCATCCCTAATTGCCCAGAGGGCTGTTAAGCACTAACCACATTGCTGTGGGTCTGGAGTCACATGTAGGCCAGACCAGGTAAGGATGGCAGTTTCCTTCCCTAAAGGACCTTCTAGAACCAAGTGGGTTTTTCCAACAATCAACAAAGGATTCATGGCTATTCTTCGACTCTTAATTCCAGATTGTTATCAAATTTAAGTTCCATCATCTGCCGTGACAGGATTCGAAGCCAGGTCCCCTGATCATTTCCTGGGTCTTTTGATTAACAGTCCTGCGACAACACTACTAGGCATTCACCTCCCTTCCTGGCAGTTTTCCTTCCCAGGATGACATAGTGAACCAGATGGATTTTTCCAACAATTGGCAATGGTTGCGGTAGATTCTTAATTCCCGTTATTTTTTATTAAATTCAAATTCCATCATCTGCTGTGGCAGGATTTGAACATTAGCGGAGTTTCTGGATTAATTTCTGGATTCCTCAACCAACATTACCAAAAGCGATTACCAGGACATCATCACATCGCTGCCTGTGGGATTATGCTGTGCACAGATTAGCTGACGAATTTTCTACAACACAGCCCACCCTTTCTGTGGCAGAGAATTCCACAGGCTCCCCACTCTCTGGGTGAAGACACCTATCCTCATCTCAGTCCTAAATGGTCTATCCCATATCATTAGACTGTGACCCCAGGTTCTGGACTTCCCAGTCATCAGGAACATTCTTCCTGCTTTTACCCAATGTAGCTCTGTTCGAATGTTATAAATTTTTATGGGATTTCCCTCTGAATTATGTTGAAACCAATTTCTGCCTCAGTCACTGACCCTGGAAGAGACTCTGTGTAAGGGACTCTCTCCCACTCTCTATTCTCAATCTCAGGCATTTAATTTCCTATCTATGGACCCTTGTTCCTGACCTCTCAATGGCTGGGACTTATCAACTTCTGTCTGTCCTTCAGAAACATTTCCATCATATCATCCTGCAAGCAGCGTTATTCTGAATAGAAAGATCTGATTTTTCATTCATTCTTTCATTCATTTGTTAGTCATTCCCAAACCCGAGCAGCCTCCTGGAGAATAACAGAATAATATTTTGCCTTTTCTTACACTTTTCTGTGCTGATTTTTTGTCTGTCAAGGAAAGGAACCAGTCGGAATTCTGAATGTTCCGACCACATCACACCGACATGTGCTTGGAAGGTGGGAAGACATACATTTTAATCAGAGTCTTTTCAATCTCAACATGTTCTGAAATCTTTCATCACTGATGAAGTAGTTTTTCAAAGTGTGGGTTAATCTAGGAAACGTGGCAGCCAATTTACACACAAGGTCCCACAAACAGCGACAATATAAACGAGCAGATCATTGACTTCAGTAATGTTGTTCAGAGATTGCATGCTCTTTGTACTCATGCAGATGTAATCTCTAATTTAAAATCGAGGAGGAAGATGGGAGTTTAGATTAAATCTCATCTTTTGCTGGAGCTTCAGTTCACAATTTATCATTTTCAGTGAAGTCAGTGGGCACTCCCTCAACCCTGTTAATTGTTGTAAAAACTCATCTGGTTCACTAATATCTTTTAGGGAAGGAAACCTGCCATCCTGACCTGAGCTGGCTTGCACGTGACTCCAGACCTACAGCGAGTTGATTCCTAACTGCCCTCTGGGCAACTAGGATGGGCAAAAAAAGTGCTGGCTTAGCCAGCGACACCCACATCCCATGAATGAATAAATACAAAGGTCAAAGAGGATCAGGGACGTTCTGCTTGGTTTCCTGGTCAATTGTTAGCCCCAGTCAATATCAACAGGTTATCTGTTCCTGGTCATGTTGTTGTTTGTGAGAGACTAGATGAGTGTCAATGACCTATGATTTATTATGAAACACTTTGAGGTGTCGTGAGATGGTGAAAGATGTGACGGAAATTCTCTTTTATAACAGAATTTTTACTGACCTCCAGCCACACCCAGGCCAAGTGCAGGCGAACGGCTTCTCTCCTGTGTGTCTCCTTAAATGAGCTTTCAAATGGCTGCTCTTGGTGTACATCTTGGTGCAACCGGGAAATGTGCACTTGTGCATTTTCAGGAGCTCTGCTGGGGTCCCTTTTGGAAACTTGTGCCTCAGGAGGAGGTTGCCTTGGCCCTGGGAGCCGTCCATAACTCCGGCCATCGGCTTAGCAGCTACAGGAACCGGCGCAATCCGCACATACTGACGGGAAGCGCTCAGGTTGGCTGACTGCACAAACTGAGGCACTAGGGTAAAGGTTTGCCCTTGGATATTGACGAGGAGTTGGGCAACCTTCAGGTCCGTTCGAGGATGTGGAGCACCCGTACTGCCATGCTCCTGCTTCACCTCAACCGGTTGCAGTTGAAGAATGACTGGGATGGCTCCACCAACCTTCAATGCCTCCTCAGTATTCCTCACACTTTTGGTTTCAGACTTGACTTGCATGGGGAGCACTTTGAACTGGCCTTTGCCCTGCAGCGTGCCAGTGGATCCCAGATCACTATTTGTCTCCTCAGTCACTTCGCTTTTGGGTTCATCCTTTGAATCCACATCCATGTTCTCCTCAAGGAATTCTTCAATTTCCTCCAGTGTCGGCTGGAATGGCCCCAACCCATCCCTGACTGCCCCAAAACTGGGAAATTCCACAACCTCCTCCTTGATGATGGGATGGCCAGCCTTCTGGTCCAAACCCAGAGTTGGGAAGTTCCTCATGGAAGCCTGGGAAAGCAGGTAATCGATGATGCTGTCTCCACTCTGGTTGCTGGATGAGCTGTTACAGCCGGAGCTTAGGACCAAGGAGTCAGGACTGGAACAGGAGTGTGAGCTCGAGCAGTCACTATCATCCTCAGACACAGGGGATGGTAACATCTGGTAATTGCTGCTCTCCATCATCTTATCACCATGGTAACCCACTGATGGAGCCAGGGACAGGAAGTGGCTGTTATTGGACGGTAGATGATCCACCATGACTGCCCGAAGAATGCTGTCGGCCAACAATGGACCAATCAGATCTCCCGCTATCTGGGCTCAAATCCACAGGAAACCAATTGAACCCAGTGCCTAATAAACACAAGAAGATTTATCTTACATTTCAACAACTACACAACAGGATGCCACTTGAAATGCACAAATTCCACATTGTTTATGTTCACTAAGGACAGGGGCAGCATGGGGTTAGATACAGAGTAATGCTCCCTCTACACTGTCCCCCCATCAAACACTCCCAGGACAGGGGCAGCACGGGGTTAGATACAGAGTAAAGTTCCCTCTACACTGTCCCCCCATGAAACACTCCCAGGACAGGGACAGCACGGGGTTAGATACAGTGTATCGCTCCCTCTACACTGTCCCCCATCAAACACTCCCAGGACAGGGACAGCACAGGGTTAGATACAGAGTAAAGCTCCCTCTACACCGTGCCCCTATCAAACACTCCCAGGTCAGGGACAGCACAGGCTCACTACGAGAAGTGGGCTTGAGGGTTTGATCTGTTGTACATGTCCTCACTCCGACTGTATCTGATCTGATCGGTGTCAGCTGGGCTGCAGCAGGGAGAATGTGAATTGCAATGTCTGGGGACAGGAACTGTCCTCACAACTCACAACAGTCAAAATCACAAGGTGTGAGTTGTCAGTGTGATCAGGGACTCTCATTTCCTAACGACACTGTCTCAAATTCATCCAAACACCTCACCAGACCCTCTCACTATCCCCTATATTGTCATTCTGGCTGAACTGTGGCAGAGGACACCAGCAAGTTATTTGGCCATGGAGGGAATCACAGATTTAAGGTGATTAGAACAGAACTAAAAGTGATGTGCAGGTAAATGATCTCATCATGTTGTTGTGCTGCTGGGAAAGGTGGTGGAAACAGAAAGACTCCGAAAAGGGCATTGAAGAGATATGTAGACAGGAAACTGGCAGGCTAGAGGAAAAGAAAGCTTCAGAGAGTCAGTACAAGGCTTTGATCTGTAACAACTTCCTGTGGCATGTTGTTATTGTCATCATAGCCAGGGAGTAGAAAATAAGTGCATGCATGACTTCAGCTCAGAATAGGGTCAAATATTCAATAGTTTCTCGTGAAAGCTTTTGTGATGAAGGATATTTTGCATAAATATAAAATAGTGGGTAGAGTTAGTGAAGAGGGGAAAGCATACATGGAGCCATGGGAGAAGTGGAGCTGAGGAGTCAGGCCTTTCCCTCCTTGATGAGTATATCTCCTGCTCATGGACGGTGAATCTTTGGAGGGTCGAAGGACGGGAAGGAAATACTCCAAATTCAAAGAACACGACAGGCAGATTCAGATCTGGGGCTGCACCAGGAACAGAATATCCTTCCGATGAGACTCTCTGCTCCTTCCTTAGAAAGGTTTTGGACCTTAATTCATAACATCTTGGGACGTCCCTTTGTCAAAGCCTGGTTTGTTTTCTGTCACCTTGCCAACTCAATATCGCAGCCTGTTCCAACATCTGTGCATTTTGATAATCCGACTGGGATTTACTGGCTGCTGTCTTCCTATTGGTCCAGCCTGTATCCAACTGTGTCCTCTCCCCAGGTGGATTGAGATCAGCTCAGAGCACACCCTCTAACCAGGGAATACCCTCTTCCTTTGCACATCCATGGGAGGTGGTCATCACCGGCTAGACCACCTGAAAAATAAAATGTTAATGACGTTTAGACACTTCTGAGCAGCAAGTGCCTCAAAGCTCCTTTCTGTTAGTGAGGTATTTGTACGTTCTATGATGGAGGAAACGTACAGAGCAAGCTCCCACAAACAGTCACAGTGTAGTGACTCGGTGGTTTGTTTTGGCCATGTCCCACAATACCCTGAACTCCCGTCTCCTTTTCAAAATGGTGCCTTGGATCATCCACCTGAGGTTTCACACTTCATCTGAGCAGCAGATCGTTTGACTCAGTGCAGCAATCCCTCACCATCAATAGACAATCACCACGGTGCTCAGACCTTGGAGGGGACTTGATCCGGAACTTTCCAACCCATCGGCACAAATACGATCAAGTGGAATCTGGTCCTGGGGAACACGTTGGTGAGACAGACTGAGCAGCAATCTTAGAAGCTTCATCTTTCACTGTCCTTGTGTGAGCATTTAAAAGTTTATTCTTCGATGGTGTATCCTCACCATTCATATGTCTGATCCTTTTTTCGCTGGATGGTTACATGAGAAAGGACAACTACTCAGTGACTATAAGATGTAGGAGCAGAATTAGGCCAGTCAGCCCATCAAGCTCTGCCATTTGATCATAGTGAAATTGTTTCTCAACCTCATTCTCCTGCCTTCTCCCTGTGATTCTTCCACCCCGTTACTAATCAAGAACCTATCGAGGTCTGTCTTCAATACCTCGGTTTTCACAGCCCTCAGTGACAATGGGTTCCCTTAAGGCAAGGAGAAGTGGTTTTCCACTTAATCATGTTGGAACCTGAGAGACTACGTGGGGGTGATGCAGAGTCGGGGTCTAATGAATATTGCTAAGTTTCTGGGATAACAGTGGCTCAGCTGTCATGTGTTAGGATTCTTCTAGAAGGTTAGAACCTGTATAGCATGGAGTACACTACTCTGTAACCATACCATCATTTAAAAACTGTTCATAAACATTATCTAAAAGTCTGACTGAATAATTAGAGAAGCCAAATCAGGTCATCAGTGTTAGACTTTAGAGAAATGTATACAGAGCCGACTGCCTCTGTGACTCTCCCCTTCCTTCTCCCTCTATCCCTGCTCTCACTCCCTCTCTCCCACTCTCCAGGCTTCTCTCTCTCTCTTTGCACTATACTCCCTCACACTTTCTCCCCCATCTACCCTTCCTCCCTCTCTCTACTCCTCCTTCAACCTCTCCTCCTACCATTCCCATTTCTCTTCTCCTCTCCTCCTTCAGTGCTCCCCTTGTCCCTCCCCCCCCACTCCCTTCTCACTTTTCTCCCTCTCTTTCCTCTCTCTCCTACTCTCTCCTTCTATTCCTCCTCTCATTCTCCGTCTCTCCCATTCCTTTCTCTCTTTCTCTCCCCTACCCTGTACCTCTCTCTTCCCTTCCCTGTACGTCTCTCTCTCTCTTTCTCTCCCATTTCTCTTTCTCTCTCTCTTTCTTTTCCCTTCCCTGTACCTCTGTCTCTCTCTCTCTCTCTTTCTCTCCCATTCCTCTCTCTCTTTCTTTTTCACTCTCTCCGTCTGTCTGTTCCCCAAACTGGCCCCATATCAGTTTGACCGACAGTAACCCTCCCAAGTCTATTTTACCAGCCGGAGCTATGTCAGTGCCAAAGTCGCAGGAGAGGGGAGAGAAATGAAGACAGAGAGAAAAGGAATAATGCAGTTTCCAAGCCGCGCAGAAGTTTCTGAAACACTGAGAAAGTGACAGTATTCGGAAAGTGAACTGTCACTGATCAGACAGACTGTCAAATCAAAAATTCCACTCAGGACCATGGGTCAGTTTGCAAAATAACAGCGAGTTGTATGGAGAGTGGGCTCTGACCTACCTGAAGCAACGTGTCATTGAAGCCGGCTCTAGCTGCAGCTTGTGGGTAGTGTCAGAGGATTCACACTGTACACATGTGACTACAGACCCAGCTCTCGCCTTGCTCAACAAACTGGAGCCACTGCACTGGGGAGGCTCGCTTACTGAACCTGCTCTCATTGGTCTGGTATTCTTCATGGGGGCTGGTCCACACAACCTTTCTAAACATTCTCCTTCAGTATTTATTTTGCAACAAAGAGAGAAAGAGAGAAAAACAATCACAAAATATTGGCTTGGTTGTACACAGCTTGTGACTCATAACTCTCAGGAATTGTGTGTGTTATTTGCTGACAGTTCCCACTCCTCCAGTTCAGCTTTAGGGCTCCCGAGACGAGTGCTTCCCATTCCTCAGTAATGTGGTCAGCCATTCACAATCTCTATACAAGGAGGCTTTCAGGGAATGTTGTGTGTGTGTGTATTTACTCTGTCACCATTGGATTCTCTTTGACAGTGGCTAGGGAAACAGGAAATCATCCGTGAAAAGGTACTTTGTCATTCATTCAATAACGGAAATTGCTGGAGAAGCTCAGCAGGTCTGGCAGCCTGTGTGGGAAAACAGAAACAGGCCTAGCCTTTCGAGCCCAGTGACCCTCCTTTGGTCATTCATTCTCGGCATGTGCCCATCACCAACATTGCCCACAGCTCTCGAAATTACCAATTGTGTCTATAACAACTTTGGTTCACCCCAGGGTTGGAAGCTATTTTTAAAGAAATTATTGGCAAGGCCAGAATTTATCACCTGTCCCCAATTACTCTTGTCCAGAGAAATCCAAATTGATCCAAACAAAAAGGGTTCTGAAGAAGGGTCACTGCACTTGAAAGATGATGTGAATCTTGAACTCACTGCCTCACATGGTGGTGTTAACAGGAACTCTCAAAATATTTAAAATGTATTTAGATGAGCACTTGAAATGCCAATAGCATACAAGGCTATTATTAGACCATAAGATAAAGAAGAAGAATTAGGCCATTTGGCCCATCGGGAATGATCCACTATTTCGATCATGGCTGATACGTTTTTCAACCCCATTCTCCTGCTTCTCCCAGTGACCCCCAGATATCAGTTCAACTGATAGGGTGAGATATTGACAGTGGTCAGGAGAGTCAGGAAATTAAGGAGGGTCAGATTTTACTTGGTCTTCATACAAGGCAAATACATTCCAAAACTGATCATTCCCATCAAATCCCCTCTGTCCCTCTGATTGGTCACTCCTGATCTGTAGCAATTGCAAGACTTTGACGACTTGCACATTTGATGAGTTAAAATGTTATTGGACATGAATCTGATAAAGATCCTTTTGACCAAGTCTGTGTTTAATCAGCTTGCACCTTGTGCCACTCACACTCATTCTCTCCTGAGATGTCCTCCCATCCCTCACTGATCCGCTCCTCTTGCACTGAACATACTTCTCCTGCTCTCTGATTTATCTTGTAACATAGCCATCCCCAATGTTTCAGACATCAAGCACAAAGTGCTGGAGAAACTCAGCAGGTTTGGCAGCACCTGTGAAGAGAGTAACAGAGTTAATGTTTTGAGCCCGCTGACCCTTCTTTGAAACACTAGTGTTTCTGACCTTACCTAGGGCAGCACGGTGGCTCAGTGATTAGCACTGCTGCCTCACAGCACCAGGGACCCGGGTTCGATTCCACCCTCGGGCAACTGTCCGTGTGGAGTTTGCACATTCTCCCTGTGCCCACGTGGGTTTCCTCCGGGTGCTCCAGTTTCCTCCCGCAGTGCAAAGATGTGCAGGTTATGTGGATTGGCCATGCTTAATTACCCCATGCATGTGTAGGCTAGATAGTTTAGCAATGGTAAATGTGGGGTTACAGGGGTTGTGTGGGATGCTCTTTGGAGGGTCAATGCAGACTTAATGGGCCAAATGGCCTGTCTCTGCACTGTAGGCATTCTATGATTTCTAGTGCTCTGCATTAAATGTGGGACCATTCTTCCCCTTCTCAAGATTAGATCAGACTCCATTCAGCTCCATACCCCACTGGTCAGGAAGGAGAAACTGGCCTTAGAAAGGGAGCAGGGCTGATTTATCAGAATAATCCCAGGGTTGAGAGACTTAATTTACAAGAACAGGTTGCACAGACTAGGCCGGTATCCCTTGTGTATCAAAGATTAATGGTTGATCTGATCAACAAGTTCGGAGAGAGATTAACGCAGTTAGTAAGGTTGATAGGGAGAAATTAATTCTTCTCAAGTGGCAGCCTAGAACCAGGAGCAGAATCTTCAGGGGTGATGTGCTGCTGTAGGTCTGGCTCATTTAGTTCATGTGTTTATTGGCAGTGTTTAAAAGGTAAGCGTTCAAGACCCACAGCAGATACTTGAGCACAGTTTCTAGACTGACAGCAGTACAGAGGGTATTCTGCATTCTTGGAGATTCTGTCAGATGAGAAATTAAACTGGGGAACTGCCTGCTGCCTCTCTCTCTCACAGGGATGTAAAGGACCCAAAGACACTTCTCCGAAGAACAGCAGAGATTTCTATAAGATGTTCATAGACATCTACTTGGAGTTAGAATCTATTTATTCAGAATAACTGGTCAATCTTGTGAAATGCAAAAACCTGACTCATGCTTCCTGTTAGCCTGAGTCTATCAGATGGGTAACTTAGGGACTTTGTGTACCTTAATACACTTTTGTGATGATTTTGGAAATAGCAGGGCGTTGATTTTCAGCGCAATATCACAGTGAGATGTAATAGTACCACTGGCAAGGTTGGCATTCATTCTTCATCCCCTGGTTGGCCTGCGATAGTGAGGACGGAGCGTTTCATCTGGGGTCCTTTGTTGTTTTGAGGCTGATCGAGATGGAGCAATACAACTGAGCATCTTCATAAACTGTTTCCACAGGCAGTTCACCGTCAACCACTTTGGTGTGGGCTGTTAGGTCACCTGTCAGCCCAGACTGGGTAAAGACAGCAGATTTCCCTCCCTCATTGTGATGAGCGAAAGAAGCAAGGACAATGTGAAAGAAAAAGGATCTGGAGCACACTGCCGGGAAACGTGGTAGAGGCAGGTTCAATTGTGGCATTGGATGGTTATTAGGATAGAAATGGTATGCAGGGATATGGGGAAAAGGCAGGAGATTGGCACTAGGGGATAGAACCAGTACAAGCATGATTGCCTGAATGGACTCCTGTACTGAAACAATTCTGTGATTGTGTGATTCTAAAGGACATTAGTTGGGGCTTTCAATCTGGCAGCTTTGTGATTATTTTTACTGAGTTTTCCAACCCAGGGGAATTTGCACTGACATTCTTTGGGTGACCTGAAATGTTAACTCTGATATTTCTTTACAGATGCTGCCAGACCTGCTGAGCTTTTCCAGCAACTCCTGTTTTTGTTCCTGATTTACAGCATCCATAGTTCTTTCAGTTTTCTCTGGGTTAATTGTTGAGTATTAAAGCCTTTACACTACTCTGTCTAATTGATTGGAATTATTATACATATGCATACAACAGTGTGGAATCAGGCCCTTCAGCTCAATAAGCATTATTTATCAAGTATCTGGTGTATCTTTCAGAGTTAATTCTTACTCAGGCTATTTGAGCTCGAGAATGTTAATTTGATCCATGTAATCACTTTTTGGATCAGAACTCTCACAACTTCCTTGAGTAAATACTACTAAAACCTGCCAAAAATATATCAGTTAAAATTGTTGTGCTTCAAAATCAAGTTGGAGTAACTTATGACATCTTCCAAAACACATAAATATGGCAATGGCAATCTGAGCAACGTATTGGATGAGGTTTTCAAACTTGGGATCCAATCAGACAAAATATTTCATTCTGTTTATCAGTTACAAGCAGATGCAGTCAGTTTGGTCTATCATATCAAATTGTCATCTGGTTGGGAAAGTGTAGAAAGAAATGTATGTCTAATCTGCCCTGGGTGTGTTTGATGGGCCAGTGTGGCAGGAGGTTCACATTGTATCTAACCCCATGTTGTCCCTGTCCTGGGAGTGTTTTGATGGGGACAATGGAGAGGGTGAGAGGGTCAGGTACTCAGGGAGTGCCACACTATCAGAGGGTCAGTACTAAGGGAATGCAGCACTGTGAGAGCGTCAGTAAAGAGGGAGTGCTGCACTGTCGGAGGGTCATTGCTGAGGGAGTGCCGCACTGTCGGAGGGTCAGTGCTGAGGGAGTGCCGCACTGTCTGAGGGTCAGTACTGAGGGAGTGCCGCACTGTCGGAGGGTCAGTACTGAAGGAGTGCCGCATTGTCTGAGGGTCAGTACTGAGGGAGTGCCGCACTGTCGGAGGGTCAGAACTGAGGGAGTGCCGCACTGTCGGAGGGTCAGTACTGAGAGAGCGCCGCACTTTCAGAGGGTCAGTGCTGAGGGAGTGCCGCACTGTCAGAGGGTCAGTACTGAGGGAGTGCCACACTGTCGGAGGGTCAGTACTGAGAGAGCGCCGCACTTTCAGAGGGTCAATACTGAGGGATTGCCTCACTGTCAGAGGGTTACTACTGAGGGACTGCCTCACTGTCAGAGGGGCAGTACTGAGGGAGTTTCACACTGTCAGGCGATCAGTGCTAAGGGAAAGCAGCTTCTAGCGATGTTTCACAGGGTTATGCCCCTTTGACACCATCACCTCAATAACTTGCTGTGATCTCTCTACCTTAATTAGTTTGTACAGTTTTGGATTACTTGTTTCTTTGGTTAGACCCTCGACATGCGACTTTTCTACCTATCATGTTATTCCAGCCATTTGGTTTGTTTCCAGCACCACCTAATTTTTAATTTGTTGTAATTATCTCTCTGCCTCGATTAATTGGATTAAAGGTCATCCTTTCACTTGCTATTCAGCTGTTGACACTTTACTCACACTGTCAGACACTTTTGATCACCTACAGAGACTTATTATTAAGCCTGTCGACACTACACTCTCACAATTTGTATGATCTTTTGATCTCTCTGTCTATAAATTCTATGCCTGTGTGCTTCTTTTCACTTCACCTGATGAAGGAGCAATGCTTCAAAAGCTTGTGATCTCAAATAAACCTATTGGACTATAACCTGGCATCATGTCGCTTCTGACCTTATGCTCCTTGCTGTTTGAGGTA